AACTTTTACAATAAGATTTTGGAATTAATTATAAAGAACAAACAGCTTCTCGTGGGAAATAAAGCTGTTTTGATTTTTGCAAGACATAACAAAGATAAGTAATTTTATGATTTTAAAAACTGGACACTAGAGGGGACTAAAGATTCTAGGCAGAGGAAAAAAAACACAGGCCTACCTTTTGTGTTAATTAATTGGGACCTATAAAATGATGCGAAACATTGCAACCATGAAAATGTTAAAGGGGACTTTTGAAGAATGGAGCCAAAAATTAGTAGCCACAATATCAACAGTGTAAGTCATGATGTCTGCCTCTATGGATAGACTATGTCCAAAAGATGTTACTGAAGAAATGACAGATGTGGAACAAATTTTATCTGACATGATAGAGATGGTATTGATAGTGGATTTACAACTGACAGGCCAAGAAAATTATTTAGAAAAGGATATTTTACTAGTTCTACTAAAGAAATTGGCTCAGGTTTTAAAATTTAAAAGGGAAATACAAATGACAAACCAAGAGAGCGACCCGGATAATTTTTACTACTGAATTTACAAAAGAGGCTTATTAAAGCCTTGAAGAACTCTGGGCGATGGGACAAAGAAGAAATGAAAAGAAATCAAACCCTACAATAATACTTGAATGACCTAAAGATTAAGACTGTTAGAAGTAAAAGGGAGGAATATAATGTTGGGGTTTTTTTTATCAAGGTTAAAATAAGATATGTTATTACTTCTGGCTACCCTTTATGGATTTTCTGCTGACACCAGGACTGAAAATATGATGTTTTATGGATTTGTTTATAGATGAGAGATGGGATATGAGATGAACAGATAAATGTTTGTAACCTTAGAGGGGGTGAAGAGTCACTAAATTTGTTTATACTTGTGGTGAATGTTGGAAATCACTTCCTTATATATATATATATTCTTTATTATATTTTTACTTTTCTTCTCTCTTTTCTTGCATTTTTTACTCCTTCTTTCTATTATCTTTTCTTTAAGTTTAGTTTGTATTAGATTTTACTATTATAATCAAATTCTTAATAAAAAATGACATACACACGCACACACACACACACGGACAAACTTTCAGGTGGCAATTTGTCCATGCTTAATGACCATATACTACACTATCTTCATATCTTCAGCAAAACGCCAAATCATGAATGTCCAACTATATAAGCATGGCCAGATATAACCTAAGACAACCCGCATGGCTGCCAAGAAGTCCATAAAGTCTCAGTTGCTCCAAACAGGGTGATCTCCAAATCAGCATTGTACCTGGGTTCATCCCATCTAGCCCAAACACCCATAATCTCTTCATACTCTGTACTTGTTTAAAGCTTATTATGTGATAAAATGTACTTGATATTACAAATACAGAAGAGAAGAAAGTGATGTATACTCTTACCTTTCCGTGTGTTCTCTGTTACATCTACACCAAATTGTATAATATCACCAGACAGAATTTCACATGGTGGACTTTCTTCAGATCCTCTGCTCAATCGCTGACTATTTATAAAGGTGCCATTACTGCTCTTAGTGTCTTGAAGATAGAACTGTAAGACAAACAGAAAAGGGATGTAAACTTTACCCTGCATATTACTTAAAGTTAAAGTCAAATTTAAGGTTAAAATGGCAGACAATTCACAAATATACAAATAAAAAGAGCATATTTATGATAATTCCAGTACACTATCAGATAATGTCTATATTATCATTGCACCAGAGTAATAAAAGAGCTTATACTTTACATTCTGAGAATGAAAGAATCCCACGGCTGATCATCTATTCACTGGATTTCATTTACTCCTATTCTGTTATGTAGAAATGTATGTCTAAATTAACCTTATTAGAAACCTTTAATAAATTATGTATCCATCTGAATAATTCGTTTTCTTTCCTTCTTCACCCTAACTTTGCATCACTCCCCTGACAGCCCAGAGCTGTCCCTTAACATAGTAAAGTAATAACATTTAGGGATTTGTCTTGAAAACCAATGTAAGGATTGGGAATTCTATGCATGGGCAAGAGCGCTAAGGAAAATGGACATTCTGCATTTTCACTTCATAACAGATATGTTTAAAATTAGGGCAAATAGTGAAAGGGAACAAAATTGAGAACAATAACAGTACTCTGTGAGAAAGGCTTTATTAATGTCCAAGCATGTCCACCACACAATTGTCTTCCTTTCACTGACAAAATAAACATTGTGGAATGAGAGATTCTATAAAACTTTTATAGAAAGTAAAATATTGATTCTTTTCCTTAAAATCACACAATATTTTCACACAAAAAGCTTTACACTGTTTTCAACAGCAGTGTCTAATAAGGTATTTAACAGAGCAGTGCTTATACAAATATGCGGTTTGAACCATCAAAGCACTATATCCTTTCACAGGTTTAGTGTGGCAGCTTCAAGGGGCTCACATCACTTAAGGAGGCACATATATGTACAGATGAAAGCTCTACCAGGAATGCCACTGAAACAAAATGTCAGTTGCTTCACTATAGCATCAATTCTGGTATAAATGTCATCTCTGTGTGCACACAATGCCAGACAACATGCAGTAGGACTGCAGCCAAACCTCTGAGAGGATGCATTCTTCAATACTTCAAGCAATGTGGTCAGAGTTGTAAAATGATTGCTTAATGAAACACCCCCTCTTAATGATTCTCATAACTTTAACATTTAATGTTAAAGTCACATTTTAATGCATTACAGAACCTCAGATATAATTCTATGACCATAAAAAAGGATGCTATTTTAAATTGTTGATTTCAATTTAAAATTGTGTTGTATTAATGCACTTCCAGTTTTTCAAGCATTAAAGTAGGCTAGCACATGACATAATGCTGCTCTCAATCTGTTTTATTCAGGTTCTCAGATCTATTGTCCCTTCAATTTTAGAAATGTTATGGCAAATTCATGGTATGTGTCATCATATCTAAAAAAGGTAATATAGACTGGGTACATCTAGAGACAGAAGTAGTATTACATGAATAAACAGAACATAACAAGAAGTAACTAAATACATTTCTTTTGTTAGATTCATGGTATTCTTTGAGCTTTGTTGAATATGTTTACGTGCTATAAGTTTGAGGAATTTTCATCTCTAAACACTTAAACAAATTTAACCACAATTTCAACTGATAAACAGACATTTTAGATCAGGCCAAATCCAAAAAAGCTAGGGAATTCCTAGAAGCTTGGCATTCTGACAAATTAGCCATCAGCAGACACATAGAGATAAACTCCATCTACATACCATTTAATCTGAATTTGATGGCACAGTAGAAAACATCCAGTGTAGGCCAAATTTATAATTTCAGAAATGTTGAGCACATTCATAATCAATAAGTTGTATGTCTGAAGTGTTAGGGTATAAGAATGTCCTATTTGCAAATATATATTGGGGCAATTAAATTTTTGTTTGGGCTCTGGATTAACACCATAACATTTTGCTTATCCAGAGATTATGCATTATCTTCTGTTAGCTTTAACTGAAGTCTGCATTTAAAAATTAGTTCAGCCAAATATTTCAGGGTGTAATTATTTTCATTACTTATTACCTAATGCCTACTGTTATTTAAACAAAGCTTAAACTATCTACACTAAATTTCATTATGATTACTTGTAATTAATGATTTTATCACCTTGTACATCACAAAAAACTAATTATGTCAAATAACACCAGTGCTTTTTTACAAGCAAAGCAACATAGATTACATGTTAATAATAAAATTATTATAAAATTACAATGATAATGTAACGAAGTGTTTCCACTCCTTCTGGAGGCTCAAAACTGAAAAATGTACATACTCCTGTTCTTCAAAAGCCTGAAGAACACATGTTGATCTCTGAATTTTGCCTGAATGCCAGATTAGTATCCACTAAAGTGTTTGTTATATGACTTTTATTTTACTTTTTATCTATTACCAAGTGCTGGTTGAATGAGCATGGAATCCACTTCTGAGTCAACTGAACTGATAATTACTTGAGAAAGGTATTGCTAGAGTGATAGAATTACATTTCTCAATTGTATTGGTATGCATTCAAAATACAGCACAGAACACAGGTGGTTTTAAAAGTACAGTGGGGCAAAAAAGTAATTGTGCAAGTTCTCCCACTTAAAAAGATGAGAGAGGCCTGTAATTTTCACTTCTTTAAGAGGCTCCTCTGTCCTCCACTCGTTACCTGTAGTAATGGCACCTGTTTGACCTTGTTATCAGTATAAAAGACACCTGTCCACAACCTCAAACAGTCACACTCCTTCTTTAAGAGGCTCCTCTGTCCTCCACTCGTTACCTGTAGTAATGGCACCTGTTTGACCTTGTTATCAGTATAAAAGACACCTGTCCACAACCTCAAACAGTCACACTCCTTCTTTAAGAGGCTCCTCTGTCCTCCACTCGTTACCTGTAGTAATGGCACCTGTTTGACCTTGTTATCAGTATAAAAGACACCTGTCCACAACCTCAAACAGTCACACTCCTTCTTTAAGAGGCTCCTCTGTCCTCCACTCGTTACCTGTAGTAATGGCACCTGTTTGACCTTGTTATCAGTATAAAAGACACCTGTCCACAACCTCAAACAGTCACACTCCTTCTTTAAGAGGCTCCTCTGTCCTCCACTCGTTACCTGTAGTAATGGCACCTGTTTGACCTTGTTATCAGTATAAAAGACACCTGTCCACAACCTCAAACAGTCACACTCCTTCTTTAAGAGGCTCCTCTGTCCTCCACTCGTTACCTGTAGTAATGGCACCTGTTTGACCTTGTTATCAGTATAAAAGACACCTGTCCACAACCTCAAACAGTCACACTCCTTCTTTAAGAGGCTCCTCTGTCCTCCACTCGTTACCTGTAGTAATGGCACCTGTTTGACCTTGTTATCAGTATAAAAGACACCTGTCCACAACCTCAAACAGTCACACTCCTTCTTTAAGAGGCTCCTCTGTCCTCCACTCGTTACCTGTAGTAATGGCACCTGTTTGACCTTGTTATCAGTATAAAAGACACCTGTCCACAACCTCAAACAGTCACACTCAGTTGAAACGTGGCTGGGTCTTTCAGCATGACAATGATCCCAAACACACCGCCCGGGCAATGAAGGAGTGGCTTTTGCAAATAAATTCTTTAAAAATCAGACAATGTGATTTTCTGGATTTTTTTTCCCATTTTGTCTCTCATAGTTGAGGTATACCTATGATGAAAATTACAGGCCTCTCTCATCTTTTTAAGTGGGAGAACTTGCACAATTGGTGGCTGACTAAATACTTTTTTGCCCCACTGTATATACCTTAAATGGATTCAGAATTCAGAACTTTCAAAGGATTCTTTAAGTTAACAGACTCAATAAGTGATCAGGTATGTTTCAGATCTATTGTCAAGATGTCTAACTTGACTCAGACCGGAGTTAACTGAGCATCTGTTAGTGAAGATTCTTCCTAGGTGAGACCCAGAACTTTGTGGTAGACATAATCCCTTTGGAGGCTATCCATACCAGATTCAACATACTATATCTACTTTATTATAGGTTCTGGTGATCAGATAGTTCTGCATTGTCTCTTCTATAGTCAAATCACTGCCACATTGCATTGATTACTATGAACAAAGCCTCTGAATGGTGGAAAGATAATTAAGATTGGCCCATGCCTAAATACTAATTGTTCATTGGTTTCTAGATTTGACTTATTTGTGCATACAGTACTTGCTTAGTCACCAACATAAAAAGTATTTAGGGAATTGAGTGAGAGTGTAAGGTGTCTGTGACCTGAGCTGATTATAACCTTACTATGAAAGCAGACACTAAATTTCTCTCCCTCATTCTATGGGACTCAACTAAAGTGGTTGCCAATTGCACTCCCCTCCTACAAAGTTAAACTTTTACTTTCTATCTGTAATAAAAATAATTTTTCAAAAATAATTTTATTGAGTTTTAAGAACTTTACAAATAACATTTCTTAAAAGGCATTATGTATTATATTATGCATAAAGTACATAAGTATTTAACTATTGTTATTGCATAAAATGGTACATAAAAGGAAAAAAATCCTAACCTAATAAACAATGTCCTTAAGTAGGAATTTTTTTAAAAAAACCCTCTACATAACATTAAATCATCTGAAATAAAAGAAATCAGAAAAAAAGGTCTTGCAGAATACAGGATTCATGACGGTTTATTTTTTAATTTTATTTATTAAAAGAATAAGAATGTTAAAAGAAAAACAAATATTGAACAAACAATAAGTGAGGAGAAAAAAAGAAGAAATCAATTGGTACAGAAATAGAATATTTATAAGAGGATGAATTACTAAGATTGCATGGTTAATGCTCAGGGAATCTTTGATTAGAAATTAACCATGGAAAACATTAAATTACATTTAAATACATTGTTTTAACAATTTAATAAGAATTTAAATCTCTGAGCTTAGTGCCAAAATCCCCACTATTTTTTTTAAATACAAAAAAGAAAAAGAGGAAAAAACCTACTAAAAACATAGATAAATATTAGTTTCTTACTTCCCCTTTATCATACTCCAATGTACAATATTCA